CGCGGCAGGTTCGGCCGATCGCGGCCCCCACTGGCCGCGGTTTGCCGTCCCGGGTCAATGGGGGTGGCGAGAAGTGGTGCAGGCAAGCAAACCTGCCGCGTCAGCAGGTAAATAAAACTGGTCCGGCCTGCCAGGGTGCTTACCCTGGCGAGCCGCGTGCCAACGTTGCCTACCCCTGTTCTAAATTCTCACATTTAAAATTCCCTCTGGGTGAAATTCACCTCTCTAATGTGGCTCTATGCTCCTCTGTTGCACTTATGGCTATAACATGAGGCTTAAGTGATATGTAAAGCCTTGTACTGAGCTCTCTGTACCAGGGTCAATTTCAGATTCACTGATTAACATCCCTCTTGGGAGTCAAATCCTCTTGCTTCTAGCTCTGTCTCAATGCTTCTGGCTTTGAGGCACCATCAATGTACCTTAATGACAGTTTTGAACTCTCAGCCAATCAGAGTTCAGGGTGGATGCCTTTACATGTCAACCTGATTAGTGTGCATCCAGCGTTTACAGAAAATTAAGTAGAAAATGTTTCAAGTGCAAGGAACATGCAATTGCTCTACAGCCATGGCTCTCAACCTTTCCAGACTACTGTACCCCTTTCAGGAGTCTGATTTGTCTTGTGTATCCCAAGTTTCACCTCATTTAAAAACGACTTGCTTAGAAAATCAGACGTAAAAATACAAAAGTGTCACAGCTCACTGTTACTGAAAAATGGCCGACTTTCTCATTTTTACCATATAATTATAAAATAAATTGACTGGAATATAAATAGTGTACTTACATTTCAGTGTATAGTATATAGAGCAGTATAAACAAGTCACTGTATGAAATTTTAGTTTGTACTGACTTTGCTAGTGCTTTTTATGTAGCCTGTTGTAAAACTAGGCAAATATCTAGAATGGGTTCACATACCCCCCTGGAAGACCTCTGTGTACCCCCAGGGGTACGCGTACCCCTGGTTGAGAACCAAATCTATAAATACTAGGTCATTATTAACTGATAGAACTGAAAGAATCCCAACAGAATAGCAAAATACTAAATCAGGACAAAAAACTTTCAGTGGCAGGGTCCCAAAAGGATAAATGGTAGGCTTTTAAAATTTGATCGCAGCAACTCTGTGCCCACGCTTTTGAATACAGTAAATTTGTATAGCTACAGCTGCACACACTGATTGATAGCTTGAGGCTACTTCAAATTGCAAAGTAAGACTTCCAGCAAGGGAATGCAAAGAGATTGCAATCAGCACACTTACTGGTTCAATCACAGCAGTGGCTGCAGCTCACTAATGATTTTAAAAGATGGATAAACACGTTAGAAAGAAATGGCAAACGCCTGCCATCCGTTTAGAACATCCTCTGTGGCTTCAAGGCTGCCTCTGTAACTCCCTCTTGCGATTTAGCTATTGCTCATAAAAGGCAAAGGATTAAGTGGAGGGTGATACATATCAAAAGCATCCGGTATGCCTTGAGAAACAACGTCACAGTCCTACAAAGTCTGCAAAATGAAACAAACAGTGCAAGAGGGACTAAATCTACTGTGATCCAGTGTGCAGCGTTTACTGAAGTGTGCATTCCTACAAGCAGGACAGCATGGTAACCATTCATAACCTTTAAAAGGCACTCACCCTTGTGCTCTGATTGTTAAGAGGCAACTGCAGCCTGTGCCATCAAGTGAGCAGTTTCTGCTGCTTCCCCTGAAGAAGGGCTTTTTCTCAGGGCAATGAAATGAGCCTGTTACAAATAAACAGAGGAAACGGTTTAGTTGAAATGACACTGCTTTGATGTAGTGTCACAGCGAGGTCTGTCTCCAGTGGGACAAGAAGAAAATAAATGGGCTTATTTGGCAGAAAGTTTCTTTTTCAGGGAAACCAAACAGACTTTATAAATGAGATGCTGTGTGCACATGAAAATCAGTTTTCCCAATTTCTTCCATTGACATTGGATCAGGTCGTAGGTGAACTGTTTAGCTACCGATCCCAAAATATCAGTTAGATTCTGTTTTGGTTCAGAAAGTAAAACCCCCTCCCCCGAATCTAATGTTCCACTTCAATTTGTCTTGAATTGTTGAGCATTTTTCCTGTGCACTGTTATAGCTGCATATTCCACTCCCGAGATGGCTGTAGTTGCGGGGTGGGTAAGATGACTCCTGCCCATAAATGGTTGGAGTGTTTTGGGATCCTTGGGGCGAAAGGGACTGTAGAAATGTTGGTTATATTTATTTGAAGCCCAGAATGAAGCATCAGATCAGTATTATCAGTGGGAGTTTCCCTTCACTTTGGGCACAAAGAGGGTTACATGCACCTCTTGGTTGGCATGTGCAATGCCACTCCAAATGCATGGGATTTACATGCATGTGCATGAGAGAAGAATACACCTCATAATGAGATCCATTGATTCACTCTTAAAACTTTTTACACGAAAAGGGAAAAATCTTGGTTCCGCTATAGATGATTTTTACCCCTTTCCCCATTTCTGTGCTGTGCCCTTGTGGGCATAATGACACTAATGGCAAGGGGCTATAATGTTGCTGCAGCATTCTCTGACAGTAAAGCCCTGCCACTGCTGCTCATTGTCATAATCAGCAGTAAGCCAGCTCAACTGTGCCAGGCCATGCAGAAATACAAGGTATTTGCTTCCCTATCCTCCTCCCATCCACTCTTCACTACAGGGAGTCTTCCCTAAGGTGATAAGAAACTCACAGGCAACTGCAATTCCTAGTCTAACTGGGGGAAATCAGGAGTCAAAAACAGTCTCTCAAGCGGACTTGAAAATGGAAGGACTATAGAAAAATCAAACTGAAAACTTACTGTGCTCAGTCCACATTCAGGAGAGAATGAAGGAGGAATTAAGCGATTTATGGGCTATCTTGTGGGAAATGAACATGGCTCTCTCATCTCTGAAAGTGTGAGGACCAAACATGGATATCTGCAAAACTTCCATCAGGGTCCAATTTAAAGTGGATTGAAGTTTTTAAAATTGTATTTATTGAGTTTTGGGGACAAGCATAAAGAATAAAGCTACATAAAGCAAAACACAGAGAATCATAACATAGAGAAAAGCAACAATGGCTATATGATATAGTCTCCACCCTGCCAGCCTGGATACACTGAACTACATATGATATTCCACCAAGTCAGCCGATGTATTTATAAATATTAAGGCAAATATACTGACTTCAAAAGGTAGCCATGCACATAACATCAGAAGGTAGTGATTTTAGAGAAGAAAGAGTTATCAGAAAGGATCAATGTAGCTGAGAGTGAGGGAAAGGAAGTGGAGAGAGAGGGCAGAAGAAAAGGGAAACCTGCAAGAGTTTCTAGAGTTTCCAAAACGCCCACTAAAATTACATGAAGCCACAAATAGCAGAGTGACAAAACACAAAACACAAGTCTCTGGTTTGCACTTGCAAATCAAGTGATGTGCTGCTGCCCAAAGGCAGAACATCAGCATACACTGGTCCTATAAGAAATTTTAGGAAACTTTACACTGTAGTTTAGGTGATAAAGCTTAAAGTAAGTATTGACATACGAATCTTTTATTAATTGGTAAGTGACATTGGTACTTATGAAAGTGAGGCAACAACAGTATTGGCGTAAGCTAGGTGTAATATAGGGGGCACACTGCAATCTTTCACACATAGCTTTGCTTATACTCCTCAGTCCTGACTTCCAAAAGCCCTGCTAGTCCATTCCTGGTTCTCTCTTGGGCAGAGGCAAAAAGATGCAAAACCAGGCCCTTAAATGGCAGTAATCTAACAGTCCGCACTGGACTAGGAGGAGGGTTCAGGTATACTGGATACAATACCTGCTTGGAAAAACATAAAATTTCCTTCCTCTACATTCCTGGGTACATATTCCTTATATGAAACTGGGAAGAAAAGGCAGGAAAATGGCACGAGAAAGACAGACGGCAAAAGAAAAATGAAATGTAGCTAGTGTGAACAACAGTTTAGGATTTTAACTACAAAGTAGAACAAACGAGCATTCCCACAGACCTTATCAAGATATAGGCTCTTGTAATATCTGTACATTAAACCCCAACTTTAGCCTGCTGATATCAATAAAATGCAAAATATTGCACAACTGAAAACAAGTGAATTCATCCAAGGAACACAAAGGAAGTTCCAATTGGGGAAAAATTACAACTACAGTGCAACTTTCCTTGGGCATTCCACCTTTAGGGTCCAATCTTGCAAACCCTTTTTCACATGAATAATCCCACTGATGTCAATGACACATCGCTTGTGAGTAAGGGTGAGTAGAACTGGGCCATTAGAAAAGATTTTAAAAGACTCAAAAAGAGCCTATTACATTTCAATCAGCACCATGCATATGTGGTACCAAAAAACTCTTCTTAAGCAATGTTGGGGTGACAAACAACTGACAAAAGCCAAGAGATAATATTTTAATAAGCATTGATTATATAATTCCAGTATGTCCCTCAGCCCGCGCTGCTTCCAGCAGCTCCCATTGGCCTGGAGCAGCGAACTGCGGCCAGTGGGAGCTGCGATCGGCCGGACCTGCGATCGGCCGGACCTGCGGACGCGGCAGGTAAACAAACCGGCCCGGCCCGGCCCGCCAGGGGCTTTCCCTACCCAAGCAGCGTCCCAAGTTTGGGAAACACTGCTCTATGGTTAGTGGATATATTGTCCTTGCTGGTAATCTCTTAGCACCCTATCCAACTCCCATTGACATCCAACTTGTTGACTTGAAAGGGACTTGGATCAAGCCCTCAGACTGTATGGAAGTGTACGCAGAAGAGCTTCAGCCATAGCCACTTTGGAAAACGTTCAGGCCTGTGGAGAGAATTTAGTCTCTCAGATACACAGGTTTTCCCCTTAGGCCTTCGCTAGAATATTGACAATGGTGTTAGTGTGTGGTGTTAAAAAAACAGATTAGCAAACACAGCCTAACTAAAACCTAAGCGTAGACCAGGCTAGTTGTATTTTAACACATTAGCTGGTCAAAGTGACCCACAAGGAAGAGTCTACGCTTTAATTTGAACAATGTATTAAGTGTTAAAGTCTCCATGACCTTGTCTACACTAGACTTTTAGAATTTGTTAGCTGGCATGTTCTAACAATACATCTTTAACTCCTAGGATAGACTACGCAATTGCTTTCACTTCTTCCCTTCCTCTTGCATGTAAGTGATGTAGTCCATCCCAAGACAATCTGAGTAAATGGTGCAGTGGGAGAGAAGGAATGCAGACAGCAGCAGAAATAAAGTCAGCTGTGAAATGATCTGAAAAATGCAATTTGCTACAGCATAGGGAGCACCAGGGATGTTTGCCAAGTATCATGGGCAAAGCACCAGGAATTTTTCTAGTGTAATGGTGATCCAGTACATTCCTGAGTTTAGGCAGAATGGTTACTGTTTTCTATTCAACCTCATTAATGGAGATTTTCAGTTTCATTTTATTCTGACTTTCAAACAGGAATTAAAACTTTCAGCTAGACTTGCAACTTGGATACAAAGGCACTTGATGCTTTATTATTTAAGGAAGACTTAAACAATTGTCACTCATCACTTTATTAATTACAGAATCATCTGTAATGATTACGAGTCAGTCAGTGTTCCCATTATAAACCCCTGCTTTCAGAAGTATGAAACAGAAAGGTAAAGGTTCTGGTTAGAAACTGGCAATATGATCTCTCAGCCCAGATGCAAGATGTTGGCGTAAATTTGAAGAAAATTAAATGTACACAAATTTTAAAGTGAAATGTGTCCTTAAAGGTGTGGGATCGATATTTCTAGGAGCTAAGAACCTCTGTCCACAGACTAATTAAATCATAGGCCACTGCAGGACACAGCATTTAATTTCAGAAAGGTGAACTACACAAAAATGAGGAGGTTAGTTAAATAGAAATTAAATGGTACAGTGCCAAAAGTAAAATCCCTGCAAGCTATATGGAAATTTTTTAAAGACACCATAATAGAGGCTCAACTTAAATGTATAACCCAAATTAAAAAAATATAGTAAGAGAACCAAAAAAGTGCCATGGTGGCTAAACAACAAAATAAAAGAAACAGTGAGAGGCAAAAAGGCATCCTTTAAAAAGTGGAAGTTTAAATCCTAGTGAGGAAAATAGAAAGGAACATAAACTCTGGCAAATGAAATGTAAAAATATAATTAGGAAGGCCAAAAAAGAATTTGAAGAACAGCTAGCCAAAGACTCCAAAAGTAATAGCAATTTTTTTTAAGTATATCAGAAGCAGGAAGCCTGCTAAACAACCAGTGGAGCTACTGGACGATCGAGAAGCTAAAGGAGCACTCAAGGACGATAAGGCCATTGCGGAGAAACGAAACAAATTCTTTGCATCGATCTTCATGGCTAAGGATTAGGGAGATTCCCAAACCTGAGCCATTTTTTTTTAGGTGACAAATCTGAGGAACTGTCCCAGATTGAGGTGTCATTTGAGTCACCAGGACCAGATGGTATCACCCAAGAGTTCTGAAGGAACTCAATTGTGAAATTGCAGAACTACTAACTGTAGTCTGTAACCTATAATTTAAATCATCTTCTGTACCAAATGACTGGAGGATAGCTAATGTGACGCTAATTTTTAAAAAGGGCTCCAGAGGTGATCCCAGCAATTACAGGCCGGTAAGCCTGACTTCAGTACTGGGCAAACTGGTTGAAACAATAGTAAATGGATCTAGACCAGGGGTTGGCAACCTCTGGCACGTGGCTCACCAGTATAAGTACCCTGGCGGGCCGGGCCAGTTTATTCACCTGCTGACACGGCAGGTTCGGCCGATCGCGGCCCCCACTGGCCACGGTTCGCCGTCCCAGGCCAATGGGGTGGCGGGAAGCGGCGCGGGCAAGGGATGTGCTGGCCCGGCCCACCAGGGTGCTTACCCTGGTGAGCTGCGTGCTAGAGGTTGCCGATCCCTGATCTAGACTGCTCTCAGTGGTAGCAGATGACAGAACAAGGAGCAATGGTCTCAAGTTGCAGTGGGGGAGGTTTAGGTTGGATATTAGGAAAAACTTTTTCACTAGGAGGTGGTGAAGCACTGGAATGGGTTACCTAGGGAGGTGGTGGAATCTCCTTCCTTAGAGGTTTTTAAGGTCAGGCTTGACAAAATCCTGGCTGGGATGATTTAGTTGGGAATTGGTCCTGCTTTGAGCAGGGGGTTGGACTAGATGACCTCCTGAGGTCCCTTCCAACCCTGATATTCTAAGATTCTATGATTTTAAAGAACAAAATTGTCAGACACATGGATGAACATAATTTGTTGGGGAAGAGTCAACATGGTTTTTGTAAAGGGAAAACATGCCTCAGCAATCTGCTAGAATCCTTTGAAGGGGTCAACAAGCACGTGGACAAAAGAGATCCAGTGGATATAGTGAACTTAGATTTTCAGAAAGCCTTTGACAAGGTCTCTCACCAAAGGCTCTTAAGCAAAGTAAGCGGTCATGGGATAAGAGGGAAGGTGCTCTCATGGATTGTTAACTGGTTAAAGGAGAGGAAACAAAAGATAGGAATAAATGGTCAGTTTTCAGAATAGATAGAGGTAAATAGTAGTGTCCTCCAGGGGTCTGTACTGGGCCCAATCCTATTCAACATATTCATAAATGATCTGGAAAAAGGGGTAAACGGTGAGGTGGCAAAATTTGCAGATGATACAAAACTGCTCAAGATAATGAAGTCCCAGGCAGACTGTGAAGAGCTACAAAAGGATCTCTCAAAATTGGGTGACTGGACAACAAAATGGCAGATGAAATTCAATGTTGATAAATGCAAAGTAATGCACATTGGAAAATGTAATCCCATCTATACATATAAAATAGTGGGGTCTGAACTGGCTGTTATCACTCAAGAAAGAGATCTTGGAGTCATTGTGGATATTTCTCTGAAAACATCCACTCGTTGTGCAGTGGCAATCAAAAAAGCGAACAGAATGTTGGGAATCATCAAGAAAGGGATAGATAATAAGACAGAAAATATCATACTGCCTCAATATAAATCCATGGTACGCCCACATATTGAATACTGCATGAAGATGTGGTCGCCCCATCTCAAAAAAGATATATTGGACTTGGAAAAGGTACAGAAAGGGGCAACAAAAATGATTAGGGGTATGGAATGGCTGCTATATGAGGAGAGATTAATAAAACTGGGACTTTTCAACTTGGAAAAGAGACAGCTAAGTGGGGATATGATAGAGGTCAATAAAATCATGACTGGTGTGGAGAAAGTAAATAAGGAAGTGTTATTTACTCCTTCTCATAACACAAGAACTAGGGGTCACCAAATGAAATATTTGAATAGAAAAATAGAAAAGGAAATATTTTTTCACACAACACACAGTCAATCTGTGGAACTCTTTGCCAGAGGATGTTGTGAAGGCCAAGACTATAACAGGGTTAAAAAAGAACTAGATAAGTTCATGGAGGATAGGTCCATCAATGGCTAGTAGCCAGGATGGACAGAGATGGTGTCCCTACTCTGTTTGCCAGAAGCTGGGAATGGGCAACAGGGGATGGATCACTTGGTGATTACCTGTTCTGTTCATTCCCTCTGGGGCACCTGGCATTGGCCATTGTCGGAAGACAGGATACTGGGCTAGATGGACCTTTGGTCTGACCCAGTATGGCCATTCTTATGCTTCCATAAAACACTGCCTCAACAACGTATCTCAATTCAAACCCAAAGGAAACATCTCTAGAAAGTAAAAAGCCTTTTCAGACTCCATATCTATTAGTGGCAAAGCTGCTCTGCCCAGACTATAGCAAGATGATAATTATTGTCATTGTGATGGTGGACTTTATTTTAATAATACTTAGAAACATCTGTCCCACTAGGAAATACACAACTGACTCATTTCTCATATTCCACCAAACAGCCACTGGGTGCTACCTATATGTGTAAGTATCTAGCTCTTTACAAGTCTCTCAAGCTTTATCTTTCTTTGGGAAAAGTAACAAAACCAAAACCAAACCAGGCACCACCAACTGTGTTGATGGTTTCAGATGTTCTTAGTAGTAATATAGGTCCCGATCCTGCAGGGTGCCGAGTGTCTTTTTATATGAGTTAAGGGCTCCGATTGCCATTTTCAAGGTTACAGGATTAGGCTCCGAGTTAGTGTTTGTAAGCATCCCGGGCAATTTTCAGTGTTCTCCAGCGTGGTTTAGATGCACAAATCCCATTATTATTAACAGGAGTTGGGTTTTTAATGCACTGCCTTGGCTGCTGCCTATGTACCATTTAATCCTTTAACGGGAAGTAATGTCATGATATTTTGAAAAAATGCAGTAAAGACACATGTTTACAAATTGTGCATGAGCCTCATTACGGTGATGATTTGCTTATCTATTAACCATGACATTTAGCAAAAAGCCTTACTTGAAACTTTCTTCACCTTTACCAGATGCTGGATTGCTGTTGCATGATCCCCAAGAACCTGTGCTACTCCTGCCATTTTCTTGTGTACAGGAATACATTCCAGATTGGTTTCACCCTTACACTTCTCAATATAGCTCAGAGCTTTTTGATAGCAGACAATAGCATCTTCTGATCTTTTCTGACACTGGTATAATCTGGAAAGTAAAAGCAGGTTTTCTTTTAAATTATATAGCTGTTAAAAGACTCATGTGCCAGGAAGATGCTAAATAGGATGCATTTTATGTAACACAGAAGTTAGCCATGTCTTAAGAAATTTAATCTCATTGCCAACTTTTTATGCCAAAAAGCCACAGTAGGGAAGAGTAATCTTGACACCAGAAAACAACAAGTGACTGTATATTTTCTTGTCGATTGCAAGTGACAAACATTTTCTGGGGTATCCAAGCACCTAAAGTCTTAGGATACAATTCCATTGCCAGGAAGAGCAGTTCCATATGTGGAGTGAGTGGTGAACAGGCACTAGCTATCCACAACGAGAGGAGAATTTTTGCCCCTAAGTTTTAGTCTTAAACTTCCTCTTCAATAAAACGCTAAGCAATGTGTTGCCTAAAAATCAACAAATGTTTAATCTGGAAAAATGGAGGTCTCTGATTTGCATCTTAGCTTCCCTTTCTTCAACCCGCATTGTACGCTGCAGTACGAAAGGAGAGAGTCTTACACAAATCATACTCTTAACGTGTTGAGCAAACTGAAAGACAACACAACTGAAACTAATACCAGTAAATAACTTAGGGCCAGAATGTGGCTTTACCAGCCCATGCCGTATTAAAAGGGTGTATAGAGGGAAAAATACCAGCAGCAGTGGCTGAAGCACATGGCATAGTACTTCCAGGGGCAATAGAGAAATGCAAAGAGATATTGCCATCCTCTTTAAATGGTTGCAGTGTGTGCTTCTCTCCAGTGTCAGCCATAGAATGCCAACCAGTGCTGAAGGTAGGCAGGGGCCATAGACATGCCTATACTTATCTTGTGATATTCAACCCTACTAGTGGGAGTACAAGCATCCGGATTCTGGCTGCCACCTGCACAGGTGGATAAGTCAGGCACAGAAAGCCCATCCCCTCCTTGCACAAATGTGCAAGAAAAGCCAGGAACCTCTATCTGAGGTCTGAATTAACTCTTTGTGAAAAGAAAATGTTTCTCACTATTCTAACTTATTTAAATCTTCTGGAAAATGCTTACCTAGTATAATATATTCACTAAATATAAACGTTTTTTCCCCTAAGAAATGACTTCTCCACAAAGATCTATGGCTATAGATTTGAAACAAACAGAATTCATGGCAGATGGCTAATTAGCTGATTGAGCAAACTGTCAAGCGAGTGAAAAAGAACTGTAAAATAATTCATAAATCTAGAGTGAGCCAGTGGATAACTAAATCCCTTTGATTTTCCCCCCTAAATTATTTTAGCCTCCAGAACTTGCCAACTTTCAGACTGCTTAAGCAAAGGAAAAAAGTATGCATTTTCAACTCTTCTTGTTTCCATAAAGCACCTGGGTCCTACCAGGGATGTAAAATACTGAATAAATAGCCCCTGTGTTTGCTGGGTAGATTGTTAAAGTCATAGAAGAAGAATAGAAAAAGCCAAATGCCATGATGAGATCATGTTGGTAGTTCAATGTCCTGCCTGAAAACTATGAAGCAGAGGAGAAACTTGTATATGCTGAACAAATGAAAATGGGTCTTAAACAAAGATCAGAAGGAACCATAGCTATGCCAACATTTTATTATTATTATTTGTATGGCAGTAGCATCTAGAACCCCCAGTGAATAATTCCTCTGGAGGGGGGTTCCATTCCACATGTATGTAACAAAAAGAGGGCCTTTTAAAGACAGTGTACTCTGTTTCTCTTGTGTTTGTGGCTCCAAATAATAACGTTACCCAAAACTTGAAATGCTAGAAAGCAAATCCAGGTCCTTCTTTGATGACCACAGAGGGCTTCCTGCAAGCAGATCTGGAGCCAGATGAACTGATCATGTGTGGATCTTTTGTTGCTCTTGGAGTTAGGAGTGTGTGCATGTGTGCGTGCGTATTTTAAGACCACAGTCATTGGGTTGAAACAGCCCCTTCAGAGCAGCTCTGCAGCATGAGATAGGGGAAGGATTCCTTCCTGCCTTCCACCTACCTATCCAAGCCAGATTCTCAGATTGGGTGCTAAACTGAGGACCTGGCCCTAAATTATGACCTCTCAACACTTACTCATGAGAGTAGATCTTAACTACTGAGTGGTCCTATTGATTTCAGGGTGGATTAATCAGGATTACTTGCATAATTAAGGGTTTGCAGGATCTGGCCCTTACATTACAAATGTCATTATCACTGCACTAGTAATCTAGCTAGTAATCTTCTAGAGTTGATGGCCAAATGGGACACTTTTGGTCATGGTAACAAATGTAAGGGTAAAGAAGTACATTTCAGGCATCAAATATTAAATGTGTGATCATAAAAAATGTAACACTTATTTAGATCCAAATTATGATCTCACTGAAGTCAATGGGAATGTTGCCATTGACTTAAATGGGACAAGGATGTAGCCCTGAATGAATTAAAAAAGTATATTCCTATTATGACAAAATAAATAGGAAAGAAAAACATATTTTGAATTAGCTTTTTTCTTGTGTTGTCCAGAGAGATCCTCAGAAATTCATTGAGGAAACACTAGTTTATTTAACCTGCCAAATCAAATCCATGGAAATTGTAGCAGATGTAAAAGCCTTGTCCAGGGGTCGGCAACCTTTGGCACGTGACCCGTCAGGATAAGCACCCTGGCGGGCCAGGCCGGTTTGTTTACCTGCCGCATCCGCAGGTTCGGCCGATCGTGGGTCCCACTGGCTGCGGTTCGCCGCTCCAGGCCAATGGGGGCGACGGCAAGTGGTGCGGGCCGAGGGATGTGCTGGCTGCCGCTTCCCGTCGCCCCCATTGGCCTGGAAAGGCGAACCGCAGCCAGTGGGAGCCGTGATCAGTTGAACCTGCGGACGCGGCAGGTAAACAAACCGGCCCAGCCCGCCAGGGGGCTTACCCTGGCGGGCTGCGTGCCAAAGGTTGCCGATCCCTGCTCTAAATTATGCTGGCTGGAATGGACCCTAGAGATAGCTTGGCTGCTGAAGGGATTGCCAGAGTTCATCACACTCCGGCTGAGTCGCCTTCTGTCTCCAATCATGTTCCCAGTGCACCCAGGAATGGCCCCCAACTCCAGGGGGAAGGGAGTGGGTAGTGTCGAGCTGGCTATTCCAGCTCTATGTCACCCAGGATTTCCCTACAACCAGGGAATTCCCAGTTGCCCTACTAGGCACGGACTCTGCACTGTCACAGTGACAAAAACAGGCAGGAGTCAGGAACTTAAAAGAATGAGATATTCTTAGCAGACATTTGTGCAAGATATCAGCATCTTGAGCACCTCCTTAGAAACTGCTCAGCCAAATTTCATTATCACTTCTTCTTTCATCAGTTTTTGCTCAAACTTTGGCTGCTTAACTTTCTACAGACCCACTGCTCAGAAATTCTCTTAAATTACTTAATGTATCTCAACTCAAAGTTCCATTCATTTTTTGCTCTTTAACCCCTTTACTGCTGCTAGAAAATCTGTGTTTTAACAGCAACAGAAGCTTCCTACAGAGAGTCCATTAAAAAAGATGGAGTAGAGTTTTAGGCTGTACCTGGTGTGTTATTCAATAATGAAGCAGATAGGTAAAGCAATCACTTGGAATAAATGCTGGAATGCAGTTATAACCACTAGATGACTTCACCATAAAGGGCTAAATCTTGCAAGCCCTTTACACACAGATCTCTCATTGGGCTCTGGGACAGAAGTCCACTATAACCTAAATTCACTATAAGCAGGTTCCACTACATGCCTACATAACTCAAAGAGCTGTGTACACACCACACTTGTTTCCTTCACTATTTATATGCACAAGGTATGAAAAACAGCTCACCACCTGTCTCACTTCTGTCATAACGTAATCAGGCCCTGACATTAACACTGTCCTGATACGAATGGCAGAATAAAAAAAAGTTCAGTCTTATACAACCAAGATCTTAGTTGGAATAATTTTCACTGAAAATACACACTTGTAACTAGGTAGATGAAAATATGCAGATTCAGCTATGTGTTATTTAAAAAGAAAAAAAAACATTTACACTCACACTTCACTCTCCAGAGTATTATAGTCCACTCTGGGATGAACTATGGCACCCAGAGAAAGTTTTAGCCAAGGGTGCTGGGCAAACTTACAAAAAGTGCATGGGATCTTTAATGTCCATATAGAGAAGACAGGGCTTCAGTTTTAATGTCTCATGCAAAATCTACACAAAAGTGCCTGGGATCAATTTATCTCCTTCAAAAGAAGACTGAAGGGCTAAGATGCAAGAAAAAGAAAAGTCAAGAGAAAATGTGATTTCCAAATAATGCAGAAATGGAACAGAGATGCATAGCAGTGAATAAAAACAGTAAATAAGTTGGATGACCTGAAACAGAAACAGCCTGAGGTGAATGTGAGTGACATTTTTAGACCTCTGCTGTCATATAAATAAGAAGTTTTGCTTTGACTGGATCCAATGCACAGTCAAAAGTGCTTAGATAGTCCTCTAAAACTACTAGCTGAACAAGTATTGACCCTCTTCTGTAGATAAAACTCAAAGCAACTGTAGTGAAGAGAAAAGGGTGGCAGATCATGGCCCAGGCAGAATGAAGAACAGAACTGGAGACAACCATTGTACAACCTCAATGACAGCAGAGAGCAGCAGTAAAAATATTACTAAGGTCATGTAAAAATAGACCAAAGAATGTGTCATGCCACTTGCAGCTTGAAACTAACAAACATCTACATGTGGTATAAATCCGCTGCGTAACTTGTACTATTTCTTGAGTTAAAAGTGAGGGGAAAAGCTGTTGATAAAGTTCTGAGCTGAGCACAAATGATCTTAGTTCAGGGAAACCTGTCACGTTTAAGGAGTTTTATAACCTAAAATCTAAAAAGAAAGCAAAAAAAAAAAGTTATTTAATAAATGCACGACAGGTAGCAAACAGCAGCAACTGGACTAGATAAGGAATGATGCTGGTTTATGTGAAATGAGTTTGGAAGCTTTAATTGAGTTCCTAGCCAACCAGTGTCCACATAGTAAAAATCCCTGTCTCAGTTGTTTACATTCTTCACCCTCTCTAAAGAGAGGCTCACAACTGGATAAGTCATGGAGACTGACCTATTCTCTCACCCTTAAGAGATAGTCCCTTTTTGAGATACTCTGGCTGGAGCAGTGGGGAAAGGGTGGGAGGAGAGGAAGCTTGTTCTGCCTTTCCTGTACTTGCTCTGTGTATTATCAGTGGAATTTGGTCTCTAGGGATGTCAATCAGGCATCAATCCTTGCACATTTAATATCAGTAATATCACTGGGAACTGCAGTAAGCAAAGGGTACAGTTCAGGTTAAAAATCCACTATTAGTATGTCATCTGCTAGGATTTTTCCCTTTGGACTACTAGTAGCTTCTACCACTTCCCCAGTCTATTCCATGGCCTAATTGATCGCACTTTCAGGAAGTTTCCCTCAAATCATCAGCTCAGCACAAATCTGAGGTGGACACTCTGTTTTAAAAGCTACTCTTTTGAGACAATGTTTTACCAAA